ATAACCTTTCTTCTAGTCGGTCTTGGTGGTTCCACTAGAAAATGTGCCTCAATGACCCCGCCCGATGTTAGGGTACACTCATACATACCCGCGTTCGCCGTTGGTCGGGGGGTCGGGGGTAAGCGATGATATTAAAGCCCATTACAGTGCCTTCTCCCAAGGTTTGAGTACGCGACCCAACTTATCCTCGTAACTTTTTTTATCTTACAGAAATATTGCGATCTAATTTGTTCCCTGACATGCCTCGCCCGTCCTCTCCCCTAAAATCGGGTGCCCGTGGGCCTGAGGGGCGCGCTTCACACGTTCCCCAGGCGGCCCCACAAGGAATCCCTACCGGGATGATTTATACCAGGGCCGCCTGGGAGTAGTTAGTAATAATAAAAATATTACTTGCAAATTTTCAGTAGGCCGAATTTCCGCATATCCAAACACATCCTAGCTTTTTGTTAACTTGTCCTAACAGTCTATAGGCTACCTCTTCAGTTTTTGTTCTTTCCGCAACCTTTGCAGTTACATTTTTGGTTCAGTAAAACAATTACAAACAGCTTTACTTTCTTTCTTATTGCACAGTGATCGAGCATTAACCAAGAATTCGGTAAGGCACTTGAGCTGGGGCACTTTTGCCATTGGGCGGCCCTAGCGTTAAAGACTTGAAATTCCTGAGAGGACTTGGAGTTCAATTATTTAACGATAAAACGCAGACCGCCGCTTGCGTTTGCAACTATTAAGCGACACAGTCTAAGGACATTCCGGGTTAAATTCGCAGTAGCAAACTATTGCAAAGAAGATTCTAGATGCCTAGCAGACAACATAAACAAGTGGGCGCCTATCCAAATGGCTGTAAGAGCATGAATCTCCTTGACTGCATCCTTAAGCATACATGGCTTAAACGGCAACCAAGTATTTCGAATCATCTAGTCAGAAGGGACCCTAATAATGACAGCAGCGGCCGCGTCTCGCCAGGGCTGCTTGTGAACAAGTCGGTTAGGACGGCTCCTAACAGCAGGATGATCAGTAATGCCTTCTAATCGAAAACAACTTTCAAAATTTCGGGTAAAATTTAGTGAGGTGATTCATTTAGAGTGTCATCGTAGGCCAAATAACATCAACCTTGTA